CCACTGAGCACCTTAATTGCCATACATTTTTCAAGGTAGAAAGGATATGAAGAAAATCACAACATAAAGCAGAGAAAATAGGAAAGAGGGCCTCCACCAGTGATGTGAAGGACATTCAAGAATTCTTGGGATTTTCATAAGCCTGAGAAATGTGTTCTGGTTCCCAGAACATTTCCCTGGGAAATGTGTTCCCAGATCTCAGAAGAAAGTGCAGCAGGAGTGATACAGGAAAATGAAAACTCCCAACTTGAATGATATCTGGGATGAGTTCATGTTTTCTAAAATCAAAGAATGAATTTTAGGAACAACAGAGGTTAAGATCAGAATATATTTATTGAGGGAAAGAAAAGAAAGTTTCTATCCAAGAGAGGGACAGAAGGGGGCCCAAGTGGGTTACCCCAAGACTCTGTCTTTTCTAGGGACTTTTATAGAGCAAAACCATGAGGTGAGGTGGGTCCAAGGTAGGGAAAAATGGACAAAACTATGGTCAGCCAGTAAGAATTGTTCAGGTAAAATTGATTAAACTGGGATCAAATGGGGAAGCGAGTCACATAGCAAGCAGGCATGAATACAGAACAGGGGCTTTTCCTGTAAGGGGTTGGGTCAAAGACTCTTCAAGGTGATCACTACCCATTTAGAATATCAGTCCCTGATGTCCATCCCTAGGGAGGTATGTGGGTGTATTTGTTTAGTCCTTTGTCTTGAGGTATGGCCCACAGCAAATATGTATCTTTCATGTTGGCTCCTTCCAGGGCCTGGCCCTGCCTGACTGCCTATAATATTTCTATCTAACTCAGCTGCATATAACAGGAGTGACTGGTTTCTTGTCCCCCTGTAATTCCTGCTGAGTTGCTATGGTACCCAGCCAATATGGCGCTGCAGGTCATGTGGTATGGTGCTGAGTCACTATGGCTTCCAGCCAATATGGCATTGGCCACTACAGGCCATATGCTAAGTCCCACCCTTCTTCCGCTGAGTCAAATTACAACTTCCCACCTCCCTTTTTGTAATATCCTGTTCCCTTTTCCCATGCTCCCACCCAACCCTGGTCTGCCTTGTCAGACAGTGAGCCTCCTAAACCCCACCTCCAGCCTGGGGCTATTTAACCTTGGACCCCAGGAAAGATCCTTAGAGGCCACGTTTTTTTCTCTGTCTTGTGGCTTTCTCCGCATCCATAATAAAGGCATTTTATTCTGTTTTATTTCTCTCTGCGCTGGAAAAACCTATCAAGGAGGAGATCATAGCAGTTTTCCAAGTGATGCATTTTCTTCCAGGTTCTTACAGCCACTTTTTCACACACATCCTCTGTTTCTCACAACCTTTGATCTCATTCTTTGTTGAATGCCATCTTCCAATCTCCTATCTTTGAACATAGAAAGGGCTGGAAGCTGTATTTATGTTTGTTTTGTTCTCTTATATATTCTCTGTGTTTATGGTAGTGTCAGGCCAATGACAGGCAGTCAATAAATATTTATTGAAAAATAATTAACTATAACATTTTACTGACAAATGCTATGGATCCAATAAAGGGGGGTTGATTAGATGTTCTATGAAAATTCAAGAAAGTGCTCAAGGATAGTAAGTTTTGAGGACCACTACAAAGTGGCTCTGAGCAGGATTTAATATTAACCAATTGGCTTTCTGTGTTTACTTGTGAGCTGTCTGAAGGCCACAGCTGAGGATGTCTGGCTCCAACTCGAATTACCTTAATGAAGACTGTAGCTGTAGGCATCTCACTCCTGCTGTGAAGACCTTCCTGGAGATAACATAGTTCTCCTAAATTAACATACTATATTACTTGGAGAAGTCCTTAAAGGGATTCCCAAGTCCTGCCCAGATTCCTGCATTTTCTTCAGTATTCCCCCTCCCTTGTTTATAAACCAAATAAATATGGGCTGCCCAGAGCAGTCTTTGGCTGAACTCCAAGAATATTGAAACTGTAAGGGAGTTAGTCCCTCCTGGTGCCCTAAAATCATTGCCAATGTCTGCATTTATTTAAGATTTCACCATCCACTCGCTTGGGAGATTGCGAGCCTGATCATTCTGCAATAACTTAGGGTTATTTAACCCAGTTTTTGATAGTCAGTAGACAGCATAATGTAGATAAAGATACATTCCACAAACCTCATTCATTCATGTACTCCATAACTCTTTCTTTTTTATTGCTTCTTTTCCTTGTCTTTCCTGTTTTTTCCTCCCTCCCTTCTTTATTTCTTTTTTGTCATTACATATGAAATAACCCTTATGTAACTTTATCATTATCCTTTTGTTACTCTCATCATCATAAATAGCAAACAAATTGAAGAGTTTGACAGCACAGTTGTTTTAACTATAATCTTAATACCATGTGACTTAAATCTCCTACTGGGCCATTCAGAAAGAAGCCAGAACTCAGCAACTTTAAAGGACTTTAAGTAGAATCCTCTTACCATTAACACCCAGAGTCACACTCTGGAAAGATCTTGTGATAATTCTCCAGACAGATGCTGTACTACCTAAAATCTCACATCTAGCCTAAAACCACCCATGCTTACCTTCTCACACTCAGACCCTCCTGCTGCACTTGTTATTTGAGCATGTTTGATCCCTTAGTCTGTGAAAGCCCCACCACAGACATCAAAGGTTCTAGTTTAATTCACAGTTCCCACCCTTGCCCTGGGGTTAGATCTTCATGCTTACCATTTCTGGAATGTATGGTTGTAAACTGGTTGTAAACACCCTGCCCTTCCTGGACTCCCAAAATGTATTGTTCTTTCCTTAAATGCTCTACCCCTCCCGGATTCTTGGAATGTACTGTTTCGGCCATAAAAAAAAAAAGAAGAGTCCCCTCATTGTTACAGATGTGACATGTGTTTGCCAAACAGGATGCAGTTTTAGGGTATAAAAGCTACTCTCTTCCCTGGACGGGGACTGGTCTGATCCTTCCCTGCGTGGAGGCTCTCAGTCAGTCCCTGGCCAGGAATAAAGGCTCGTCCTAAATTCCAATTGGCGGTCCGTGTGTCTTGGTGTTTGTCGGTCGGTACCATTTGGTTTGTTTCTGGTTGTGAGTCCAGAACATAGTCCTTAGATCTCTTTATTGACATCTTTTATGAGTTTATCTAAAACTGAACTCTCCATGACCTGTTACTTTCAATCATTTGTCATTAACCACATCATTCTTATTCCAGTTCTATATCTCAGCAGGATCCTATTCATGGATGAATTTCTTCATTATAATGCAGATTGGTATCATTGAAACGTGTTACTCTCAACAATAAGGAGGCCCATAGTGTTGCCAGGAAAGTAATCATTTTCTCTATAGTCTTCTCTCACTGCTATTTGTGACAAGAGCTATTTCAAAAGTGTTCACACATCTTACAATTCCTGTTCTAAATTATCTTCATTCAATCTGAGAGACAGTTAATTTCTATTTACAAGGAAAACTCCATTAGAAAGTAATAGGTATTTCAAATTTCTACTTTCACACCCCATGGAATTATTTAAAACTAAACAGGTCATTTTCTCCTTTATTTAAATAAAACTATTTAAAAGTGACTGTTTCTCCTACCAAAATGTTGTCCTGTGACCTCTGATCATACTTTAGCACTGTTTGTCCTCTCAGAACTCTGATGCATGGCTTACAGATTCTTTCCAGAAGCATGTAAATCCACCACTATTGAAAAAATAATACTGCCATTTCTATTTCAAAAACCTCCATCTAGTCTGCACAATGACTTTAGATGACCCAGAAATCCCCAAAGAGATTTCTATATTGAACTTTTTCTTCCTTATCTCCTTTCCTTATTCCAATACAGTTTATCTTTGAAAAAATCCAAATCATGCCGGGCATGGTGGCACACACCTGTAATCCCAGCCCTCGGGAGGCTGAGGCAGGAAGGTTATTGCGAGTCTGAGGCCAGCCTGGGCTACAAAGTGAGCTCAAGGCCAGCCTGAACTGCATAGCGAGACCCTGTCTCAAAAAAAGACCAAAACAAAAAAAACAAAACAAAAAAATCCAAATCATGATCTTTGTGTGGTTAAAATCAATAGACACTGAAAAGTCACCTTCTTATTAGGCATTTTTTAGCATTTCCTCTGTTGGTTATTCATTTTTTTTTTTTTTATTTTATGAAACAATAAAACAAAGTTTCACAGCAAAATAATAAGAGAATAATAATAGTTAACACACTGTATGTCCTTATCTTCAAAGTAGGTGCTCAGAGTACAAGGTAGTACAAAAGATTCTCTTCTACAAGGAGGAGATAGATTAGCACAAAACTTTCTTCTCAGTGGAATAAGAGAAACACATTAGCATTTCTTCTTAAAACTCCTCCTTTCTTTCACCCCAAGTAGTTTTGAATTGCTTCTGTACTCTGTGAACCCCCCTCCAGGGTTTTTATTTCCTCCACTGTTTATCCTTGCAGTGTTTGGGCCCCTTGAGGATTTTCTCTAGCACTATTTTTCTTCTGTGTTTTCTCTGAACATTTATCTTTTTGAAGTTCAACCTACTCTTTTAGAGTAGTATTCTGTCAAGACAACTAGTAGGAGAGGAGCTGGCTTTGAGTGAAAAAGTGTGTCCTTGGGAAAATTATTTAACTTTGTAAGTGAGGACAACACGAGCTCTAAAAGGCTACAGTGAGAAATGCGCAGTGGTTGCCTTTGATTAATACTGTGGATTTGGACTCCTATTACTGAGAACAACTAGTTCTGTCGCTTACTGTGATCTTGGACAAATAGCATTTTTCTTCCACTTTGTTTCCTAATATTAAAAATGACGATTATAATATTGCTTACCTTATATGATTAAATAATGTTATTTATTTCATTGGATTAAGATAGCTTCTTAGTAAGCAGACTCTTGAAAATGTTCTCACCAGATGGTACTAAGTACTAAGAAAGCAACCAACTCCAAAGCCTTAAAATTCAACTTGTTTCTCCACTTGACCACCAGGGGGCGATGTTACCTGACTAAAAAATGTGCGAACAAAAGTTCAGTGTCTGCCACTCCTAGGAGCTTTATTACCTACCAGCACAATGAGTGAACATGCTGAGTAGAATCAGAGCAGTGTTCAGGACGCATCTCTCAGTATTAGTCTCTAGGCCTTGCCTAAAGAGAAAACTCTTACACCCCCAATTTTCCCGAGGAGATCTTCGAGAACAGCGCTGTCGTCTCCTGACCGCCCAGCATGCTCTCAGTGACCCTTCTCCTGCTCGGAATGCCCTTCACCCTGAGTAAGTGACGCTAAACCTCTGCCCCTGCCCCAAGGGAGGAGCATCTTCCCGGCCAGAATCTGGAGAACGCCCCGTCACCTCACGACAGGTAAGTCGGTCCTGACCTCACTGCTCAAGTGTTGGTGTTGCAGGAGGAAGCAGCGCCCAGTCAGTGGCCCAGCCTGACCGCCAAGTGGCCATCTTGGAAGGAGGTCGTGTGCTGCTGAGGTGCAACTATACCTACAGCGGAGCACCTTATCTCTTCTGGTACGTCCAGCATCCTGGCCAAGGCCTCCAGCTTCTGCTCAGATACATGTCAGGTGCTCCCGTGGTTACAGGCATCAGAGGCTTCAAGGCTGAATTTAAGAAGAGCGAAACCTCGTTCCACCTGGAGAAGGCCTCAGCGCACCCCAGTGACACAGCCACTTACTACTGCGCTGTGAGCGGCACAGTGCCTGGGCCCCCAAGGGGAGCTGAGCACAAACCTCCTGAGACTGCCTGTGCGTGCAGAGCGCAGCTGACCTGCTTTAGCGAGGTCTCATGCTATAGAGGAGAGGAGGAGCGAGAAGCAAAGATATGGGGTCTGTTTGATCCTGAAAAGAAATAGGAACATTTGCAATTCTTTCCTCTTCACTTTCCTGTCAGTTAAGAAGCAGAGTGGAGAGACTCACGTGGATATTCTCCTGCAGTTCTACAAGGTCAGGGCTCTGCTTTCCTGTAGCCAGTGCTGAGATCTTGGTCTTTCCCGTTCTTACCTCTAAAATGCTCGTGCTACTACCTTTTGCTTTTCACCTGATAGTAACTTCAGAGTTATCTTTGGCTTTCATTTGTTTTTTTTCCTTCTATTTCCTCACATTATAATCCGGTGTTCCTACCTTAATACTAACCCCTAATGTAGTTACTGTTACATCCTTGGTCAGCGACAGCCTTCTCCCTGACCTTCCTGCTTGACTTCTGACACATTCTTAATACAGCAGGCATGAAGTAACAGTGAGATCCCTTAAGTCATAGATTCTGTCATTTCTTGATAAAATCCTTGCAATAGCTTCCTATTTCTCTCAGGGTAAATCAAAGACTTTATAATGTCCTATAAGATGGGATCTGTCCCCCCTTACATTTTTAAAAAGCTGAGAAAAAAAAATTCTGTCAATCATGAATTCTATAGCTTGTCAAATACCTTATAGAACTTTGTAACAAAATAAAGAGATTTTGGATAAAGGGAAATGGAGAGAATTCATCAGGAATAGACTTGTTCTAAAACAGAGAAGGAAGTTCTTTAGGCTGAAGGGAAATGATGCCGGAGGAACATTTGGAACTCCAAGAAGGAAGAGCAGCAGAATAATGAGCATATGCTAAAATGTATGGAACAGTTTTAATTCTGTTTTTGAAAAGCTGCTCTGAGCTAGAAATACTATATAAAAACTACACACATTTGATGTGTACAGTGTGATGAGTTTATAAATTTGTATACAACCTTGAAGCCAGGATCACATCTGAGGAATGAGACTTATCCATCCCTCTACAAGTTTTGGTTTTGGTGGTTGCTATTGTAGCTGCTGGAGCAGCTCTCAATGTCAAATCTGTTCTCTCAAAGTTTAGATGTACAACGTTATGTTCTTCCCTGTAGGCCCTGTGTTGAGGAGAAGAGCTCTAGAAGTTACCCTTGCAAAAATGAGCCGTGTCTCTACTGCACAATAATTCCCTATTTGTCCCTTTCCATTCCAGTCCCTGGAAGCCAAAATGGTATTCTCTTCTCGTATGCTTTTGATAATTTTAGATATTTATATAAGTAGAACCATGCCGTATATCTTTCTGCAACTGGCTTATTTCATTTAGAGTAATGTCCTAAACGTTCATCTATTCATCATGAATTACAGGATATCTGTCTTTCTCAAGGCTGAACAATATCAAGTTATATCAAAATACTGTATTTTCACCCATTCATCTGTCAGCATACTTTTAGCTTGTTTCTACATTTTGGTTATCTAGGATTACGTAGACAGGACAATGAAATGAAATACCACACACAAAGATTATCTCAAAATTTATTGACGCTTTAAACATAAGACCTAAAGCTATAAAAACACTAGAAAAACGTGGAGAAAAATATTCATGAAATTGATCTTGGCAATAATTTTTTTATATGACAAAAAGGTGCAGACAACAAAAGCAAATATACTCATGTATAATTGTATTGCACTAAAAAGCCTCTGCACAGTACCTGATGGAATGTGGGAAAATATTTGCAAACTGCAAATCTTACAGAGTATCAGAGTCCAAAATACACAAGAAACTACTGTAATACAATAGCAAGAATGCAACCTTACTAAAAAATGGCCATGTAACCTGAATAGACACTTTTTTCCAAAGAAGATATACTCAGTAGCCAACAAGTATACAAAAAGTTGTTCCATATCAGTTTAAATCATCAGGGAAATGGAAATCAAGATTACAATGGGATGTCACCTTACATGTTATGATGACAATTGTATACAAAATATAGAAAGAGATAAATGTGGATGGAGCTGTGTGAAACTAGAATTTTTATGCACTGAGATTACCTTGAGAATGTAAAATGGTCCAGCTGCTATCCCTTCCTCATAAAATCAAAAATAGAACTATGACATAGTAGTTAGTAAACTCTGGGTATATATTCAAAAGGATTGAAATTCAGATCACACATGAATACCAGCACTTCTTAGTTAACTGAAACATTATTCACAATTCTATTGTTTTGACTTATTTAAAATGTTTCTGACTTGTTGAAATCTATTGTTATAACATTGCTTGTGAAGGTTTTCACATTCTGAGCATGGAAGACAGCTGACAACTGGAACATAAAGAAGAGGAGGGGATGTAACCTAAACAGTTGTAAGTTTCATGTATTTGTATGAATAGTGTGCTTAAATAACACTGTATAGACTGTGAAAGGTTAAAGAACAGGCTTGATGCAATCCTAACAGAAATCACTAAAAACATAAGAAGAAATAGTTAAAATCAGCTAGATGAATTCTGTAAGTAGATAAATAGCTAAACATAAGTAGATACACAAATCAGGTTCATCTCAGTGAAGTAGAGGTTAGAAGAGTTGCCAAGAGAGCCTGGGAGGTGTGGGGGAGGGGCAGAGAGCTTGAGGTCCATGGGCGCAGGGATGCAGTTGGACAGAAGGAAAAACTTCTAATATTCTATGACAGTGGGATAAGGATGGAGGGTAGCAGTTATTTCAAAATAGCTAAAAGAGACAGTAATAAATAATGTATAGCTGAGGTGAGAGGTATACCAGTTATCCTGATCTTACCATTACACCTTGTACATGTGTTGAAGCCATGCTCCATCCCATAAATATGTACAAATTCTATATGTCCATTTAAAACTTTTAAAATAAAGGCATTTATTATCATAACATGTTTAATTTTCTGACACATATATGTTTATAAAATAAACTTTTTACATTTTGAGTAGGAAAAAACTGCACAACATCAACATCTTTTCTGCACAAATTTAGCAAAATGAAGAACTATCATAAGCTAATCCATGTGGTGACACTGATAGTTTTAATATGACAGAAAAAAAATCTTTAGAAAAGAAAGAAAAATTTTGTTGATTTCATTGATTTCTGTATCAGTATCTGCAAAAGGAAAATGACATTAATTTCATACAGTAATACTGTCAAACTACTTGCTCTTGAAACAAGCTTGTTTTCTTGATAGATGATTTTGTTATTTTAAAGGATTATTTTGAATAGTCATCAAAAATCCATGCCACAAACATAATTTTAAGAGAAAATAAAACATAGAGCAAAAGAATGTA